CCATTGTCTATATTAGAACACTTCTCATTGGGTAACAAAGTCTGAATTTTTCATTTTTGTCAAAAAGTGTCTATAGTGTGGTGAATTATGGTTTAGGTTTTTTTAAATAAAGTTTCAAAAATGTCTATGTATGTGGAAAATGTAGTTGATTACCAAAGGTTACAATTTTTATTTTGAAGACTGCATGGTCTAGGAAGTGTTTTTTTTATGGGGCAAGTTTCCAAGGGCGGGTTTTCTAGGGGCGAGTTGACTGCCAAAGAGTGTTGCCAAAGTGCGAGCCAGCGTGTTATTTGATCACAAGTGCGAGACATATCACAAGTGTGAGCGAGCGAGCCATGACGTCACGACAATAGATAGAGACGTTAGCCAGTTGTGCGAGGTATCGGCTGAGATTTGTGAAGTACAATTCAAAAAACAACTATAGGTCTAATAATGAATTATTGTGATGTTAAATAGACAATGTTAGCTATCAAAGAGCGACGTTGTTTTTCATTGGGACCTTCGTCTTCAAGGCTAGGCCTATACCATCCTAGCTAGTCTAGGCCTAGAGTAGGATAAGGCTAGCGCGACATGCGGACGTTGGTACGAGTAGGCTAGTCTACAAACGTCGCCTAAAGTAATTGATTTTACCCGGCAGAACGAAAGAAGGAAACTCCGCTTTTCAGTCGTCTTAAGCACTCGTTTTTTGACAAACAATGACCTTTCAGAGGTCAAATTGCTGTCAAGAATATGAATTGGCTGCTTCGCAGCAATAACATAATACATGATCATAAATGATATGTGTATGTAGGGTAACACTGAAAGTCACTACTGTAACACAAGTGGCAGAATTAGAGAGAGCAAAACAGTAAATTGACAGTGTCATAGATGGAAGTGTTTGATAATCTCAGGAAGCAAGGATACTACGGAAAACGGAAGATTTAAAAGCAATAAAAAACGTAAGCTCTTCCATAAGGCTGGTATTAACTTGACAGAAGAAAAAATATTTGAAAGCTTATCCAGGGGGCAAAAGGTTATTCCACAGATTGAATTAAATAAATGATATAATTTAGAATCATACATTACATGCAAATACTGTACACTGTACAAGCAATTCAGGCCTAAACAATTACAAATCCAAATTTAACAAGAGATTTTAGTACACAATATTTCATTCTAATAGTAGTTGGGAAGATCAAGAAAGCAATCAATTGAAATAACCAAAAAAAAACATGGATATTGGTAGAAACAAAAACAAAAAACCAAAATGTACATGTGGTCAGGGAAACACTAAGGAAAGCCCATAAAATTATTTTTATATTGCTTATTAAATCCAATGCTCTTTTAAGTAAAGACTAAACTGGTAGGGCCTATCCTAATTGCCCAGTATGTGTATAATTTCATCAATCATATATTTGTTCAATGCAGGATCATCAAAATTATGTGAAAATATGGAACAGCCCTTTTAAAAGTATTAATTTATTAACTCACTTTTCTGTACATGACCTATATTTGACTCATTATAGAAATATCAGTCTTGGTTTCCTTCCTCGTTTCCTTTAGTTATTTTTAATACAAATATTTACTTAAAGATGTATTGTTCCATGCTAAATACCAAAAAATCATTAAAATATATTTTGAAATTAACTTGCCTATCCTGAAGTAACATAAAAGATGAACATAGAAATTAGTTGAAAATAAAACTCAGGATATTCAGTACTTTTATGACTAGTTTATTTGTGACAGTACACAAGCTTTCGTGCACACGGTGCACTTCTTCAGGTGAATGTGTGCACGAAAGCTTGTGTACTGTCACAAATAAACTAGTCATAAAAGTACTGAATATCCTGAGTTTTATTTTCTATTATATATTAGACTAGTACGGCTCATCTATTGTTTATAGAAATTAGTGTATTTAAAAATGTCTACCCATCAGTTTACAGCAAAAAATTATAGAAACACTTCCAGTCACTAGAAGTGTTTTATTATTTTTATTATAATTTTTTGGTTAAAAAATCAGGGTACACATTTTTTAAATTCAATAATTTTTATGCACAAGTTAATTTGTATGCTATTGCAATATGAGCAAGTTTATTTCAAAATTATTTTTTATGATTTTTTGACATTATAGCAAGGGACAATATCTTTAAGCTTAATTTTCAAAGATTGTTTTTGTAATATTTAACTTTATAAAAAAAGTTATTTTTGTTATTGTAGTGCCATAGTTCCTTGGGTATAAGCCCATCTCATGTAAGCACATCCTCTATGTTACACAGTGTCTTGTGTACTATACCAGGTGACTGTTGTAAATACTATCATAAAAATATCAATGGCTGGCTTTGAAGACATGCAGTGTTGAAATATTCTGAATGATTGTCCATCCCTACAAAATCATAGGACTTGCTGTCAATTTTAAGAAGGATCATCATTTTTTGTGAACAGGGGACAATTCCTCCAGAGTCCCATCTCCTAATTGGCCAAATTTTGTGTTCATAAGGGGTTTTATTTATACCAGGGATGATATTGAGCTGAAGCTGTTGTTTAGGCCCAATAAAAAAAAGTTGTTTTAGTTTATCACCCTCACACACATGTCTTCTATGGTACTGAAAAATAAAAAATTTCCAGCCTAGATAGGGTGATAAACTAATAATATTTTTTATAGGGCCTTATACTCTACTATACTTGCTTTGCAATACCGGAGTTTTGGGCTCAATTACACGAATAACATTTTCTCATATTCCTATTAGAAGTTTCATGCACTGAATGTAGACTGTGTATATAACAACACATTTATTGAAATTAAAAATCATGATAATAAATTTATTATTTTGTAGTTGTAATAAGACAATCTGAACTATAATTTGGTATGGCATACATCATGTACATTCTTCTATGGTATAAATAATTTAATCTGTACTCCTATCAGTATCAATAATAAATGGCTAATAAATGTTGCTAGGTAATGGTTATAATTCTAGTTGTGATACTGTATGCATCAATCTAATTATGTATTTATTTCATATGGTTTGAAGAGCAGTTATTACTCTATGCTCTATTAGTGTCTATGAATAGCCTGTTATTTATAGTCAAATTCTAGATAGCTTAACAACTGAGAGTTTCTGTGTAGTGTACAATTGCAAGGATTCTCCATTGATCGGAGCACTGTAAGTGTAAGTCATATTTTCTGATCTCCGAGTAGATTATTTTTTTCTAATTTAAATAATAATTTTGGATGCTACATTGTTTTAAACAACCTGTAATATATTTTATTAAGTGAGAATGTGTTAGGATCTTGGTGGAATCTATGTGAACAATGTTGGTTGATTGTACAGTATCAGTACATTCCTTTGCAGTGACTCAGATAGTGGGGAGGATTCATGTAGGAATGTGATGGTACAGTAATGTACATTGAATGCAGTTCAGAGAAATATAGTGTAGGCCTATTCTAAACCCATTCTACTATACAATACAAATGATCCTAAGTTTTGAAAATAACTGATCGTGAAATTTGGGGCGGTTAGCTTACAATGCAACTTTGTAATGTATTCTAAACAAATTAATTTTTATGATCATGTAATTTCTACTATTCATTTAATAATCAGATTATACCCCAACAAAGAATATTTTAAAAGCACAAGTCAAAGTGAGCATACTTTCTACAGTAGCTCTGTTTCCTTAGTGCAATTGCCATTTTGATCTAAAATTTAGAACATTTTCAGATATTTATATGAACTAGATTCAATGCACGTATAATGCATTTATAAGTATCTGGTGGGGAAATATGTTTGTTGTAGAAATCCATGTATTTTGAAGATTTTAAAAGGGCTTGTATCATTGGATAGTTATGGTGCTTAGGAACAGAATCAAATTTCCGTAGGAAAAATTTTTAGTAACAGCTTTTTTGTTACTCTGTCATTGCAACAGTTTAACCCCTTTGCATTAAGTCATTATTATGTTGCTACTGTATTACTTATGGCAATTTCCATTTCGTTATTGGCAAGCGTGGTCTCGCTTATGAAGGGTGCACGTCCCGTGCTCCCTTAATTCTATGTTATCCCCATGCGTCAGAGTGTGACAGAATGCTAGGCCAGTTGCCAACTTTGACAGACAAGTTTCCGTCCACAAAACGAACTTGTTTACCAGTGTTGTAATTGGAACGCGGTAGCCTTTGCACAAATTACCAGACAAGGGAAGTTGTAGCTCTGATATTGAAAATAGGAGGGCAACAAATTGCATCTTAGTGTGATCAAAACAATGTGTTGTACTGTAATGTAATAAGAGCTAATAAAAATTACAATGTCATCGTGGAATTATTTATTCATTATTTGATCAAGGATCAAAATAAAGTGATAAACATTAAAAGTTTTTCACTATATTTGATTTTGTCTGTACTTGTTTCCATTTTTTTATTAACATTATTTTTTATTTTAGTTTTCATTTTCTTTCTTGACTGCACAGTTTAATCAAATTATGTAACTTGATAATCACTTTAATCTAGTTCCTTCTTTATCTTTGAGATATTTATTTCCTTATCTGATTAATCAAATTGAACACTACAGTACAAATAAGACTTGTATAATCGTCATCATTCTTTTCTTAAAAGTCATACAGTACTGTAGCATCCAGTAACGTGTTGATTTCCAACAACACTATGGATGTGTGTATACTGGTTTGTTGGTATGTCTCATTCAGTGGCTACTCCAGTGAAGGAAGGAGGCTTAATTCGCTCCTTTGAACAGGCCAAGGCATTCCCTCTTGATATGCCGTTTACTTGCTGACAACACTAAAAAAGAAAAAGGCTTTTTTGAAGGCTTCCTTAGGAATTTGTCAGACCCATGTTGAACAATTTAGCCTACTACATGAATAGCCATAGAGCTTAAAACTGACCATATGCATCAAATTTTTGTCTGACAGACTCAACAATGTTTATTAGAATTTGATATTGTACAGGTAGTGTGTGCTTGTTTCAGACACTTAACTAAATAATCTTACAATGTGTGTTTGTTTTTTTTTTTGTATAGAGCAAAGGGAAGAAGTGAAGTTACTTCTTAAAGATGGACCAACTTCCACAAAACAAGGTATAGTACTTTTTAAAAATTCCATGGATCTATTGTGTTACAGTATTGTAAACATTTTGTTAGCTTACTCATACCCGATTCACACATACAAAAATCTTACCAAATGTAACAAAATGTAACCAAAAGTAACATTTTACGGCACTTGTGAAAGTACCTCCGTGTAATATCCTTGTAAAATCTCGGAACGTCTCGGTAATCTTCCGAGATGTAACATGGATGGATCTGCGCATGCGCAGGGATTTCAACACAACAACAATCTACTGTTTCACGGGTTCTTTGAATTTTCTTCCTTCTGTATACGATTCTGATCCACTAGAAATAGATAGGCCTAGTTTTTCTTAATGATGAATGAATTACCCTTATTGATGTTAATTAGTAATGGTAGAAGAAGAAGATATACATAAAATGAACGTCGGGATGGTGTTAGTACTATTACTAGTATTACAAGAGTCCGAGACATAAACGTTGGAAGCTATGCCTAGTTTAGTAGTAGTAGTAGTACAGCAGTTGTTAAGAATATTGATTGCTTCGAATGTTTACTGTGATGGTGAGTTCAACAGTCCCATCTGTGACAGGGGTTCTCAACTAGGCCTAGGCAAGACATCGCAGTACGGGTATTAGACTAACACACACTCCTACATTTTGATAACCAGTGATGCTGAAAGTAGCCCTTGATATTAGAGCCATAGATTTCATCTGGCCTTCTGCCTTACCATTTTGCCTGGTTTCTTGTCACTCTCTTCAAATTACCAAGCTGTTTTGCATCATCTTCTCTTGCATTTTCCTGGCACTTTGCCCTCAGTAGCTCAGAGTACTTAGAGCTCTTCCTATGCTTCAAATGAATTTCAGTGGCCGCTGACCAATATGCACATGCAAATAATGTATGTGGCCGAAGATGTGTTTATTTCATAGAAATTAAATGTGGGCTCTGCGTTTACAGTAAATCTAATGCTTATTGATAATTCATATTTCTTTAATTAGGTACTAAGTATACTCATTTTGTGGGAAATACCAGCCCTGGAAATACAAAATGCTATCAGTAAATTGAAATTAGCATTATGATTGAGATAAATAGCGCACCACATTTGAGCTAAAAATAGACTTGAAGTCTACATAACCTCAACTCTGACCTGAAAGTAGAGTAGGCTATTATTTCTGCACAAACCTTTAAACCTGAAGTACACCTACTAAGTAAATTTAGGTTTTTTGCCAAAAAAATGTGTATTGTTAAGATATGTGCAGCATCTGGTAAATTACTAGAAACCATTGGTAATAGGATGTGTAATAGTAACTTCAAGATACTGTGTTAAAGGAGTTTTTCTATTCATTTATTGCAACCATAAACTAAAAGCATAATTTGTATATTAGTTCGATTTTAATTAATTGTATCTTATACATTGGTATTAGAACAGATTGATTTCCAGATGTTGCTTTAGGTAACCACTGTTTCTAATCTACTTCAGTGTTTAGTTTTTGACTTCTCTGTTGAGCCAAGAAATGTGGAAAGCTTTTATTGGCAATTGGACAACTTCAGCAGACTGTATTTAGCCTGGTGCTTAAACACTGTAGTACAGTATACAACAATAATAATTTGGAGTTTAACATATTACATTTTACCTAAGATCATTTGCAAAATGATTCAAAGCATATTACTACAAGGCAGGGGGGCGTCTGAGGATCTTTTATTTATAGCTGTAACAGTTAAAACAGGAACCGCAATAAAATAACTTTTTTATTATTTGAACATACTAAAACCAATTGTAGAAACAGGCAAAATAAAAATGAAAAAAAAAAAAGATTGCAAGGATGACTATCCACTACCACTGTCAAATTCTCTAGATTGCTACCCAGCATGTTTCAAAGGAACCAGTTACATATTAATTTTGCCACACTGTACTTGAAGTGGTGTAGCTCGGTGGTATAAGATACTTGTCTTCCAATTCCGGTCTTCAATTTCTGCCAAAGATTTTCATCAAACCTAACCCATACTTCTAAGCCTCATAGTGAGACTATGCTGTTTGATGTTAAAAAATAAGAAAAATAAAATAATATTATTTTTTCACAAGATTTTCAATTTCTTACTTTATTTAACATTATGTCTCTTTGCCAATACAGATTTTTATTTCATTCCATAAAATACAGACAAAACTTAAAGGAAAAATGGACAATTTGAACAAATGAATTTTAAAACATCTCAGCTGCACCTGCTCTTCAACTCTATTGACAACTGAACAGCAAAAGATCAGTTTGTGTATTAAAAATAAATACAAATCCACAGGAAATAGTGAGAAGTACTAACAATAAAGACTGGATTTATTGGGGGAAAATGACACTAAAATGCCGCAAAAATAATGAGTATATAATTAGGTGAATCAGTAGGCTTTGAAGAAAGATATCACATCAAATAAATATAAAACTATTCAATTTTTTATAATTTTTTTTCATATTATTTGTTGTGTAGGCCTATATATTTCTTATATTATGTATAATTAATTATATTCAGAAAATGATATACTTAATGTGTTAAAGTTGGAGCATTAAGCAAATAATATTAATCCTGCAAATTCTATAGAGAGGAAGTAGTATTTCATGGCTATAAATACACATGGAAGTAACACTCGCTTTTCTCCCTTTGGTTTCCAGGTGTTAAAGATCTCAGTAAGAGTAATTGAGTTGTCACACTAAATGACAGACAGAGTAGTTAGAAGTCTTGACCTTGTTTTTAGAGGATATAGTTCTGTACTTAATCCATATAGCAAAAAAGGATTACCACCCTGTGGTCTATAAAAGACTATAAAAACAGTATTTTCTATTCATCTGTTTATTGGTGACAAGATTTTTTATGTTAGCTACATAATACATAGCTCAGCACAGCTAGACAATCACAGATTTTTGTGTGGACAACCACAATCCCTTTATGAATCTTCTGTTTCACTTTCACTGTTACTAGTGTTTATATTAACAGCTTCATTTGCATGTTTTGTACATTATAGTTCATAAGTATGTCCTGTATGTTTGAGTCAACTTTCTTAAATATTTCAGGGTTTAAATTAGTTAATAACAAGTATGTAACTTTTGCATGAACAGGTCTTTACAATCAGACACATTTAATCAGAATTGTGAAAGAATAAATAAATACTTTACAAACATATCATAAAGTAATTCTGTACATGTACTGTATACACACACATGAAGAAATATAAAATAAAATGGAAAGAAAATACTGTGCAATGATTTTCTTAATTTGCTAATTGTCTCCATAAGCTTTCATATGAAAGCAATTTTCCCAGACAGAGTTTCAAAAAGAGAGCTGTTAGGTAGGTATTTTTTTATTCACCTGGCACGTACACATACCCACCCACACAAACAATGCATTTCCAAAAGCTTTAACTGGAGTGATCAACACATGAGGAATTCTGTTGAAGGGAGTCACATAGTATTCTTCTAGACACATTAGAGACATACTACAGTAAGAACTAATGTTGGCTTCCTGGTTGTGGTCCTTAGAGGGAGACGTTCAAGTAGTAACACTGTATACGACTTTGACTTTCCTGTTGTCTGCAGGACGTCTGCTGCCTACACTGTTGGCAGTATTCAAGTTGTAAAAATAGAAGGATATGAAATGTCTTTAGGGAGGTGAATGACTGTTTTCACTCGGTATTGGGCTAGCCTTTTTCTTATCCTTCTCCAAACAGTCTTTCTCCAGGGAAACTTTACATGAAATGATAACCTCTTACTATATGTAGGCCATTATTTCTTGGAAGTGCCCTGTTTGTCACTGTCTCTTTTTAACAATGTTGATGCTGTGGCTGAAAGTAATATTAAATTGTCCAATTTATTTTCAGTAGAAAATTGCGTCCCCCTTCCCCCCCCCCCCTCCAATTATAATTATAATATTTTGAAATAAATTGATATTGGTTGTATAGACTTTAAGCATATCGGTACTGTACGTCCATTCATGCAATGTAAAAATAAGCACTGTCTAAATAACATTATTTAAACCCAAATAACTAGCTCTCATATGGTCTTTCTTACCAGGGGTGGCGGCAGGATTTGCCCGAGGGGGGTCCGAGGTCCGAGGGGGGGGATTTCCTTGACGAGAGCAAAGTGGGCGTGATCGAGCGTTGTTTTAAATCTTCCGAAAGTGGTGGGGGGGGGCGAATCCCCCGAAAACTTTTGACAATTTAGGCTTATTTAATCAATTTTAGAGTCTTTTTTTTTTCTCCCAAACAAATTATGGTTTTTCTTCCCGTCCGGGGGAGGAGGGTTACTATTGAAACTACATTACGATGTTCGAAACTTTCTATACAACTTTACCATTATCCTAATTTGTATTAAGGCTGATTGTATTTATCGCATACAGCTTAGTATTTTTATTCTCTAAATTTATCTTATAGTAGAGTCTTGTAAGTTGCTGAATTTTTAACATTGTTTAAACGCGCAACTGAATTTTGTGTGCTTTTGCATCAGCAAATAAGTTAATAACATGATCAAAGTTAGCAATGTTGTCTGCTTCATCACGCTCAATACAAAGTAGTGCCAAAGCAGATAGTTTCGCTTTACCCATCGTGGCTTTGAAATATGGCAGGATGAGCTTTAGTCATGTGGTCATTACAGAATAGGATAAAAAACAAGAGAAAACGGTCGAAATAGACTGAAAAGAAATCACAATCTATAAATTTGCCAATAAAAACAACTACATTAAGATTCTTATTATTAACTGGAAAATATTCATGCCTGACGACATGTATCAATTTTGTCGTGTTTTTCCAAAAAGTGCTTATTTTTATACACTCATTCTCCCATTTCAGCGCCCCCCCCCCCAATATGATACACTGCAACTTATAAACTTATTAACCTCATATAATAATTAATTTTTGCTCTTGTTTCAATTACTATTTAGTGAATATTTATTTTGTTTATATACTGTTGCCATTTAAAAAAATACATTTTGCTTTGTTATTATAAATTTAAAACATTCTTTTTATGTTACAATACAATAAAAATGCTTTCCATTTTTCCTTTTTGCAGATTCTGGGACTGGAAAAAATTCTCCATCAAGTAGCAAAGGAAAAACGAAAAGTCGAAGTACTGGGGACAAAAAACCCAAGTATAAAAGTGCTATGAAGGTGAAGATTGCTGAGAAGGTGAAAAACAAGAGAATGGCACGTGCATTGAGAGAGAAGAAGAGCTCTGACAAAAAAGCAATACAATTGCAAGATAAAGGAAACAATAATATGCAGACTCCAACCAAAGAAACTGATATCAATGAAAAATTGATTGAAAAACTTTCAGAGCCTGCTAAAAAGGACAAGTATGACTTGATAAAAGAAAGGAGTGCACGCACAACCAAGCAAGCTCAACCTAAGGAAAACTCACCAAAGAAAAGTCCAATTAGACCACCTGGACACCAAAAGGTTGCTATGCCCCTGAAAGGAAGCTCTAGTCTTCCACAAGACATTGGCCAACAAATTAAAAAAATGCCAGTTGAAGACCAGGTTGTTGTCACTACAGCTTCCCAAAAAGAAACTGAACAAGAGGCAGCTGATAAGCAACAGGCACTTGAAGCCCTTCTTCACATATCTGGAGTTGAACTGGATTCATTTACTCAAGACAAAAAAGAAACTATTTTAGCTGAACTAGAGCAAAAACCAGTTGACCAGTGCTTGGCACCTGCTGATGACCATTCAGATGTAGTATTTTCAAAGTCTAATTCTCCAGGACAAGAAAAAAATGTCTCAGAGTCAAGCAATGTAGTACGGATTGATGAGACAGAGATTGGTGTCAAATACCAACTCAAATCAGACTCTTTAGAAGAGCAAGGATTAAAGTTGACTTATACAGCACCAAATGCAGCTGATTATGACTTAAACCCTGTTAGTTATGGTGTATACAGGCCAAATCGATCTAAACATGTTATACCTGTTGGTAAACAAGATTCTGAGTGCAGCGAATTTGACAAGGATAAAGGAAAACGTATTGGAAAACATGTTTGTGAATTTTGTGGGCGAAGATGCCTGAAGCCAAGTGTGCTGAAGAAACATATTCGTTCTCACACTGGTGAGCGTCCTTATCCATGTATTCCATGCGGGTTCTCTTTTAAAACAAAGAGCAATCTGTACAAACATCGGAAATCACACGCACATGCTATAAAAGCTGGGCTCACTCCAAATCTTGAGGGAATTAAAGTTATTGAGGATGACGAAAATGATTCCGAAGAAACAGAAAGTGAAGATGAAATGGAAATCGATGAAGGTGTAGACACAATAAATGAGAAAGAAATGGAAGAACGGTTAACTGAAGGTAGACCATATGAAAACCCAACCAGAGTTGTGGAAGAAATTCCTAGTTTTGTTAAATTTTCAAAGTCAGGCATTCCTGGTCAGACCTCCATGTTCTCTGGTGATGCACCTCACACTCCAACGAGTATTGAAAGAAATCCACACCAGCTTGTGCAAGAGTTTCCTATGGTTAACATGTTACCTTCTGAAGTACAAGTAATTCAAGATTCAAACCACATTCAAAGTCAAGGAAAGTCAATTCCTCTAACTGAATTAATGTCAATGAACTCAATGAATGAATATCATGGTTTATCAACCAAACCAACCATATCATCATCAAGTCTTTCACCAATTGTAAACAAGGACTCTGAAAATGTGTCATCAGAAGAGAAAGTGTCAGCACAAGGAGAGGCCGGCTGTGGACAGGTTTTAGAAAACCTTCGGTCAAAGGATGTAGCTGGATTCCGCATTGACATGGAAACGGGGCGTGCAATGCCTATACTTCATACCCAACTTAGTGCTTCTGAGCAAGTTGATGGGGTTTCTGAGGATTCTGAAAAGAAAATGGATGTGAAGATTGGCAAGAATGATGTTGACCCTGCCAAACTAATGATTCCTCTTACAAACTTTAGCATTGTGAAGTCAGGTGGCCAATTTCATGTACAGATTCCTGTGCAAGGTATTTTAGAGTCAACCATTGGAAAAGAGTCCGAGAATTTACTTCCAAAAATTAAGAAATCAAAAGATAGTGAACCTCTACAACAAGCTGTTGGTCAGGAGAAACTAGAAAGTGCAGACATTCAAAGGAAAGTTAAAAGAACACGAGCTGTATCTGAAAATCTGATATCAGACTCCATTGAAATATCCAAATCACATATGCAGACTTTGCCAGTTGGAGGCTTATTGAAGGCTTCACAGTCTAATCGTACATCTACATCACCAGGATCACATATAAGTTCTGAAGCATATCAAAGATTTGCAGGCAATATACAACATAGTCAAAGGTCAAGATCATTATCTGAAAGCATTATGCTGAAACAAAATACATCTGCCTTACATTTTCATTCAAGATCCTCTCAAGGACTGCTAACAACAACAACACCACCACAATTTTCTCAGGTTTCGGTTGCAAGTTCTCAACCAGCTCATCTTGGTAGTATTCCTGGTAATATTTTGGATGGCAATAAAATGAGGAGGTCACAGCCGCAAACACATGTGGTCTCACCAAGGAAAATATCTACTTCAAGCTCTGCCATACGTTATTCACAAAGTATTACGGAAACACTGAACAGTGGTTTCAGTTCTGCTGTTCCTGCAAAAGACTTGGATCATTCTACACCTCATTCATCTACAAAGAAACTCCCATACAGGCTGTACCCAGCAGTAAGTTTGCCACACGCAAGTCCATCATCAATGATACCAGCATCGGCAGCTGATAAACCTACATTTCTTTCAAAATCGGTAATTCCTGTTCAAAGCTCTCAAACTCAGCAGCATTCTGCAAACAGTCCAAATTATTCAAGATATCAAACATTAGAAGAGACTCAAGCTGCCTTAAGGGCAGCACAGCCAAAACTATTTAAGCGACGAAAGTACAAATCTGAAGGGGATACAATACCTTCTGATATTCATCTTCCAAAGAAACGTGGCAGAAAACCTAAACATGAAAGGATAGCGACTGAAAGAGTGCCAACGCCAACAAGGCCAATGGCACCACTTCCCTTTCTACCAACATTGCCTCCAGTACCACAGAGTCCACTTATTGTTTCAACTGGTAGTGCCTCTGGAAGGATACCTATGCTTTCATCACTGCATTTTACCAATTTTCATTCAGTCAATAGTGAATCAGTTAGACATTCCATTAATTCACCATTAGGATCTGTAATTCATCCCACTAACCTACTAAGCACTACAAATACGGAAAGTTCAAGAAATGCAAATCACGGAGGCACAGCACCACAATTTTCTGGAGTTTCAACAAATGTTTACTCGAATGCAACAGCATCAATGTTTTCAGGTACAACACCTCTTTCATCAGTGCATAGTGTCCCATATCCAGATCGTTCATCTACCATTTTCTCAACAAGTGTAAGTGTGAGGACCCATGATGTACCTTCAAGAGGTCAGAACAGTAACTTGGCTCAAGTTGTAAAAGAGGCAAAGAATAGGCCCTCATTGTCTGAAGTTAGTGCATATCATCAACCTGATACACAGATTCAAGCGCCATTCCCTGGTCCTTCTAGTGCCTGGACAAAACGCCATAGAGGTATATCTCCAAAGACACAAGAGTATGAAAGACCCAGACCTCTAATGCCCATGCCAGATTTGGTGCAAATCCCAGTTGGAGAAACAGATGACAAGAAAACCAGAATTAAGATAGAATCAAGTGTTGCTTCTGATCTTAAACAGACATTAGTTCGTCCTGGGTTGTTAAAGATTTCAGATAGCTTGAGCCCACTCCGACCTAATTTAGGATCAAGACCTAGTCGAAAAAATCTGACTTTAGACATTCCATCATTTGGAAGCTTGAAGCATCCTGCTGTCACCCATGCAGGTAAATGCACAACACCAATTGAATATGCTGCAAAGACACTTCTTTCACCAGAAGCATTTTCAATTGCACAATCTGTTGTTAAGTTGGCATCACCTATGAAGAATAAACCAGATGGCACTCCTACCACTCCTGTAGAAGCTGCAAGGGAGCTTGGGCGTCTTGCAGCACATGCTGCATTTGCAAATGCTGGAGGAAAAGTAGAAAATATTTTAAGCCCAATGATTCCTTCAATGGCAACTTCACAAGGCTCAATTGTAGTAGGACCCATTACAACCCCAACTACATCAGGACCACAAAAACAGTATTTTGTTCTTCCTTCTCCATCAAAAAGTCATAATCCTGGATTTCCTTCTCAATCGGACAATTCAATACTGAAAAAGCAAAAGCCAACAATTACTACCGCTGAATCATTTTCATCTGCTGCTACACATACAGTTCAAACTCCACCAAAGCCATCTCCTGTTTTTCCTCCGATCCCAGCACCTTCACAGGTTATGTCACCAAAAGTCAGATCTCAAGCACCTTCATCATCAATAATACAACAGACTGAATTCACTCCAGTTCTCAACAAATCTTTTCAAAATCGTTCAAAGTCAACCTCTGGTCAGACGATAGCATTTATTCACGGTTTACCAACTTATCAAGCAAAATCTCGACATAGGACAAGTGCTCTGGATAAAATTGATGAAACTGTTATTACCAATGAAGGCTATAAAACTATTCCAACTTTACTGAAGTGCTTGTACAAGAATGCAAATGGAAATCACAACATTACAACGCCAATGTTCACTTGCTTGCACCGCACTCAGCCAATGTATGTGAAACAACATTCAAACTATAAGGTTTCAATGTACTCTAACTGGCGCTCAGGATCTACCAGCCTGCATCCACTAGGTATGAGCTGGAAAGCTCATCTAGGCCTGAATGACTCCAGTCGTAACCGTAGACCAAGAATGGTCTACATTGTTTCTCCCCTTTCAAAGGATCAAGATGGTATTTTGACACATTCTAGTATGTGGCGAAGAGAAGACCAGTGTACATCAGCAAGCCAACAAAACATTCCAAGCCTAAAACAACAGCAGCATAATGATTCACCTTCCAGAGGTGAAGTTAATGCAAACTTTCCTCACAAACTATTTCGTCATGGGAGAATTCACCATAGAAGAACAGAGAGTGAATCTGCTGTGATAGACTCTAAGTCAAAGGAAAGGAAAATGAAAGACATTGGGAAGCATGAACCTTTACGAGTACCAATCTTCGAAGGTGGCTTTAAATCCAATGAAGAGTATGTTTATGTTAGAGGAAGGGGAAGAGGAAAGTATGTTTGTGAAGAATGTGGAATTCGCTGTAAGAAACCCAGCATGCTTAAGAAGCACATACGGACACACACTGACATGCGGCCATACAAGTGTTCAATCTGTAATTTTGCCTTTAAAACAAAAGGAAATTTAACAAAACACATGAAGTCAAAAGCACACAACAAGAAAACTGTTTCAACTGGAGGTGATGATGATGATCTAGGCAACCTAGATGATGATGATGACAGAATTGAAGAAGAAGACTATGACAATGATCACCAGTTCTCTGATGCAGATGAAAATGAGGATACAGATTCTGCAGAAGGTGAAACATCAGATGAGGATGAAGAGGATGATGATGCAGATAGCCGGTGTCATCATCACTCTTTTCTCAGAAGAAAAAGAAGTCATGGCTCTTTACCAGATATATCTGGTTTTGCAGGAAGTAGTTCTGACTATCACTTTTCATCCATTCTTGCAGGAAGTTTACCATCTTTGAATGCTACCAGAACAGACCAAAGCTTATCTGATTCATCTGATGGAGTGCCCACAAGACGGACTTTGAAAAGGTCTCATAGTGAAAGCTTAGACAAAATTAGAAGAGAAAAATCAGAGAAAGATGTTCTTTCTGATCCATTAAAGACTCGACATTATCCAATGACTTCACAGAATTACCTTCCTGGAGAAGCTGGTAAAACAGAAGAGAGAAAACCAACAAGGTCTGAAGTTGTAGGGAAGCTTACTCAACATTTAACAAATAAGAATCTGGAAAAACTAAGAGCACAAACACAAAGCCATCCTCTTGTTACAACACCAAGCTCACATAGTGGTAGCAGCAAATCCTTCGACATCAATCAGTTACCACTGCCACAGATGGGACCAGGTATTTTACCATTGCCAACATTCCAACCAACATATGGATTATCTATAATGAACATTAGTACTGGGTTGGCAGGTTCAAGGAGTCAAGAACATTTACCTTCTGTTCCAATGGGCTCCAATTACAGGATATCAGCAAAGATTCATGAAGTAACCAAACCTGACAACTTAAATACTGTTTCATTATCAAAATCAGAAGGAACACAAGACTCTACAAATGAAAGTGTTCATCTAGCTGTACATAAAAACTCTGCACAGAAGACCATAACTGATGTTGCTGTAGCAGATTCAAATGCATTTAAGACACATACAACTACAGCTTTGCAAAGCTTACCTGTCACAGAAAGCAATGTTAGAGGATTTGATCCTGGACTTGTTGGGTCCGTGTTTATACCTGTATCCTCAGTCCTCCAGGGAGGGTTAATTCCACCTACAACTGCTCCATACTCATCAGGCCAATTTATTTTTACATTTCCTATGCCTTCTCCTGCCGCTACAAAAGAATCTGATGTTTTATTAACAGTACAGCATCCAAAGATAAATCAGGATGTTCTGAGGTCATCACCACAGATGCACTCCAGTAAAATTAGTGAGCATTCCCCTCTACAAAAAATGGATTTATCATCACAGAACATGGAGGCAAAAAGCCATGGGTTTCACACGATGCCTTCTTCAGTAACCTTCACAAAGAGAAAACGAATTCAAGACAGTGAAAGCATTTCAGCTGTACTTACACCACCTGAGAAAACCACTAATGAAAGCTTAGAGAACATAAGATCAGTTGATAATGCGAAGAGGATTAAATATATTAACACTGATGTAAACCATGCTCTGCAACAACCGATGAATATGAACAGGATTGTTATGCCTAAATCCTTACATCACCAAATGGTACATGCTCCTCAAGCACAATTCATACCACCACCTGTTGCACCAACAGAAGTTTCTTTAATCAGTCATCATTCTCCAAAATTTACATTTTCGCATGGTAGCAGTATGTCACAAGTGCCACTTGTTTCTCCGATAACTCCTTCACGGATGTCCCAACTGCCACCTACAATTCTGTCAACACCAGATATTAACACATCTGTAATTCAACAATCATACGGTTCAAGTGGTAAGACCACCATACCTCCATCATCGCTTTCTACTGAAGTTACTAAATCATCAGATGCTATACACAAACGCATCATTGAAGTTGAGAATAGTGACATTGAAGGAATACCATCACCAACAGCCACAAGAGGAGGCTTCCACAAATGTAATGTTTGTCTGCAGGGTTTTACCAAACCAAGTCAACTTCGTATCCATATGAGAACTCACTCAGATGAACATCCATACAGTTGCGAGGAATGTTCATTGTCTTTTCGCACAAGAGGTCTGCTACAAAAACATGAGCGTTCTCCAATCCATTTTTCACATGTTGAAGCTGTTGAACTCTCTACAGAAAATGCAGATGATCCAAGACCATTCAAATGTAAAGAGTGTTCAATTGCATTTCGAATTCCTGGACATCTTGCAAAACATTTGCGTTCTAAGGGACATATAATGGCGTTGGAACGACAAGGAAAATTGACACGACACAGGCATGAACTAGGAGATATTGATGGGTCACCAACTAAAGATGATGGTTTTGGAGACCACGAAGATGAAAACACGGACAGTGCAAGTGAGGGCGAAGCTGAAAAGGTTGTAGTTGAAGAAGTGAAACAAGTTGAATATGTACATCAGATGGATAATTCTGACTGAGTTGTTCCTTCCCTAAGTAAACCATTCCATTTATTACTTAAATTGTTTGTTATACAAATGTTAATCAGATAATGAATCATGAACTGTGTAAAATTATAATATTTAAATTGTCTTAATCAGGTTTCAGGTTGTAAAATTTTTATTTTAAACCTCATATTATATAAATTCAGCTGAAACCATATATCCATCTTGCCATGGTGTAATAATATTTCCATGATTGAGTTGATATATTACCATATCACATCAAAATCCTGTTTTATTTCAAACTTTCACATATAGGAGTACATTTGATCATAATTGAGTTTCCGCCAATGAAATACTTTAGGAGTTTGGAAGATTTAACCAAAGTCAGGGAAATTAATAAATGTGTTTATACTGTATTAAAAAAGAAAATTTGCTATTTACTTTTCGTTTTTGTTAGCAAACACAGTTCCTTCAAGATCAACACTGTATTGAAGAAGAAAGTAGCGAGTATTATACTGTATATCTTGGATTAAAAAAAATATATATGTTTGTGAATTGGTTTACTTGTGTTCAATTTTGCACTAATGTTTGCACATTCTTTTTATGTATACATATTTTATATAGTTTGTGATGTCACCTATGAATATACTGTTTCTAAACCCTAGAAAGCCTTTACATTTTTATGGTATACATGAACAATCCTTAATAATAGTTTAGCAGTTGTTTGAACACATCAGAATTGATTTTATAATCAGGTATGAAGAATTTTTTTATACTTGTTAGATTTAGATTGTAATTACAAAACCTTGAATTATTCTAAAATCAAGGTGTTTGCTGATTTTTTTAAAAGAAAAAGTAACTGTTAAAATCTGTTAACTTCATCAGTGTTCCTGAGGTGTACTGATCTAGGATATTTGATTTTCCTCTACCTCGATGTTGTCTGACGTCATGTACTTTGTCATCCGCCAGCTTAAATTGATTGCTGTCAAATGTACTTAACTATATTGATAATCTTGTTGATTAAGAACCTATGTAATTCATATCTACATTTTCCTAACCTTTTCAACCAATGTTTTTGATATGTCAAGTTGCTCCAACTTTTACATAAGTTGCGCAGTCACATCAAGTAATCCGTTTACGATCTAGTGTTTTTCATAAACTTATAATACTGTACCAATGATTTTAATTTTTTTATAAATGCATTCTTCAAAATTTAAATTACTAGATCATGATTTATTGTTAGTACACAGTACTGAAAATGCACATCTACTCACAAGACCATAATGCTGAATGTTTTTGGTTTTATTGTTTATGTTATTATCAAAACTACATTTTCCTGATTTGTTAATATTTTAAGTGATTATTTAAAAATATATATTAAACAAAAACAATTTTTCTGGTTTTATTTACACCTTGAATATAGTGTGCAGATGCTTTCCCAAGACTAGTTTGGATTAATATAATCATATTACTTGCTGATTATTATCATATGGTTTTCTACAGGGTTAAAGTTTTATCTTGTGATTTTTATATTCTGATAATTTGTTTGTTAATTAAAACAACAGTTATTTTAATTAAAAGAGTTATTCTGCACTTTTTCAGGTAAACCTAATTCTTGGAGTTAAAAGAACTCCCTAGAAATAATCAGTGTACTTCTTCAGGCATGTATAACCTTTTAATGTATGTTGTCATACTTTATCAACGTTTATTTTATGTGTATGTTTAGTTTGAAAACAGTATTTTGGTATTTGATATTTATTTAGGTACGTGGGCCAAGGATCGCCAGTAGCGAATAAATCACTGTGTAAGTGGTAGTCCGTTCCGCAACACACATACATTAACGCTCTACATGAATTAAGTTTTGTTATGTGGCTTAAAAGGTGTTGAAAAAAGAGTTGTTTTGGTCGTCGGAAACAATCCTTTAACATGATTTAAAGCCATGACACTGAAGAAAGGTAAGTGTCGTAACAATCAAACGTCGGCTCCACTACAGAAGAATAAAACAATTAATACAAACCGTTTCATTTGTGCGTTGATGTATTCTTTTGATTTTTCTGTTAATTGTTTATGCTGTTTTAAGGTTAGGCCTATATGAGTAAGAATACAAAAGAAGGGTACTGTCAGATAAAAGTCTTATTTCTTTATATACTACAGGTGTATATTTTGAAAGCTGTGCTAATTAGGCATTTGTACAGTTCAGAATTATTATGTTACCAACTACTTCGAGTTTAATACTGTATGTTTTGTTAGCATCTATTACATGTACATAAAGAATGTATAATGCAAACATGTTAATTGAATAAATATACTTCAGACAATGTAGCTTTCAACAAATGATATATTATTCGTACTGTATATTGAATGGAGTTTATTATATAATTATATCCTCAGTGTATATGATTGTACGATCTCAAAGATCTTTGGTAGATTTTTTTTGTCTCAAAAATAAAAGGTTCCATTGGAATCTGTTAAGTATTTAAGTTGATGTGTACAAGAGTAATTGCCGTGACAATATACGTTTACTGTACTTGTTAGTAGGCAGTAGTTGAGATATTTTTTTTCGGTATTTGTAATGCCGTGTTATATATTGTAGATAACGGAAACAAATATAGATAAAAACAAATGAGATTTTTGTATGTTTCTGTTTTTCTTTATTGCATTAAGGTATTTTATATGGCTACGATTCTACTGTAGATATCCCAGGGACGTAGCCAGGAATTTGAAGGGGGAGAGCCGTTATGCGAATTACGTAGGAGCCCGGTGGGTTCCAGGGGGAAAATCTCCCTGTGAAGTAGCGCACTCTGAACGTTCTTAGGACTGCTTTGAGAGGATAAAGTGAAATTTGCTATAGACGCATTATAACTAAGGGCAACAATAATTATATAATAAATCAACAGTGGTGGATCCAGGAATTCGAAAGGGAGGTGAACCAGGGAGAGACTTTCACAGACCGAGGACCCACCCACCTCAGCCCATCTGAAAATTTATGATTAGGGCAGCATCTCTAGATGGACGGAAATTACACTCTCATACTTAAATTTGAATATATTTTTCATTTTTTGAGGGGAGGGGACGGGCCTTTAATCCACCTCTGCTCAAAACATTCTTTATTAAAAATAGTAATAATCATGAAAAATGGGCCTGGAAAACCAGATCACATCCATGATCCTAAAACCAAATGTATGGACCCTCACCTCAGCAGTCACTAAGACATACTCTGAGTCAGGTGCTGACCCGATGGAGTTTAATGTCATACCCAGGGAAGGGCACAGATCTGTTTTGAAAGGTGGAGGGGGAGGACATTTTGTGAGTCGACGCCCACCTCAGACCCACCATGGTTGGAGCTGAGGTGAGAAAGTTTAAGGAAATAGTACCTCTAGATGGCCAGAAATGACAGTAAAATTCATCATTATCCCATCACCATTAGTCAAAATGAAGCGCCGAAAAAATTCTCATGATCTTTTATCAGGGATTTTTGGCAACCATAGAGATCTTAATAAGGTGTGTGTGATATACCATAGAAAACAGAGCTTAAAAACATGTCTTTGAGTATGTACTTTACATACATCAAAACCGTGATTTCACAACCAACTCCCACGGCTTCCCCCTTTATACGTCCCTGAGATATCCAGGAATCCCAGACCTAACAAGTCTCACGTAGCGTAGTGATAATCATGGTCCACATAAAAGGCGATAATGGAGCAGTAGTAAACACATGAAAACATTCGGAATTTTTAGGAGATGGTTTATAATTTGCGGAAAATGTTAAACTTGATTGTCAGGGTGTGCGAGAGACTGTGTCAATTTCGGGGACACTTTAGCAACTCACAAAATACTTAGAAACCATATTAAAGGCGATAATGGAGCAGTAGTAAACACACGAAAACATTCGGAATTTTTAGGAGATGGTTTATAATTTGCGGAAAATGTTAAACTTGATTGTCAGGGTGTGCGAGAGACAGTGCCAATTTCGGGGACGCTTTAGCAACTCACAAAATACTTTGAAGCCATATTAGGGCTAAGGTGTCCAACAGGGGGGGGGGGGCTAACAAAGTCTGGCGGAGACCAATTGGTCCTAGAGTGGCCTATATCCCTGGCACTTTAATTGCCATTTTAAGAAACGTTAGCACGTGTTGTGCCCAAACCACATTTTTACTAAAAAGAAAAAACACAATTTTTAGCAGCAGGGATGTAGACTGCTTCAGACTTCACCCATGATATTGTTTCATAAAAACTGAGTTAAGTTAAATTCTTGCTATCAAAGCATGCCAGTAATGGGTAATAGTGTTGATAATAATAATAATAATAATAATAATAATAATAATAATAATAATAATAATAATAATAATAATAATAATAATAATAATAATAATAATAATAATAATAATAATAATAATAATAAGATTTATTAAGCGCACATCTCCACTAAAGTGCTCAAGGCGCTTGTGAAAACCATGAAAAAGCTTATCCTTTTAAACTAAAGGCTACCAGATAAACGACCATAACCCACATCACTGCTTCCGTTTACCAGCAATTAGATCATAATTTTGATGATGATGAAGCTGATGAAAAGGATTATGACGACTGAGACAATGACAACAAAAATGACAATATTAGGCTGTTATTTTGATTGTGCATTTTAAACCTATTAAAACCTCAGTAGATATGAATGTTTGATTCATTGATGATTTGTTTTCGTTTCATTGTTTCTTATTCTGTATAGGCCTATAGTATTTTGGACCACAATGGAAAGAAGTTTGCCTTTTCGGTACTTTATTTTGTCTGTTATCCTTGAATATAATGTATGTATTCAGAATAACGAAATGAATGCATTATTAGTCAAACTTTAAATAGTATCAGTATCAAGAAAGACGGCTAATTACAATAATAAAATGTAAAATAAAATATAAATGACCCCTCCCCCCCCCCCCCCAAAAAAAAAAACAAAAAAAAAAAACAACTATGAAATGTATTAGTCGACCACCCTATCTGCTGCAGACGTTGAGAAAAAAGTCTGCATAATTAAAAGCCAATAAAACGATGTTAAAGGTCAAAGTTATTTCGGATGAAAAGGTTTGTGGAATTCTGAGTAGGCCTAGTGCTAATTTAACTGGAAGTGTTCCAAATGTGTAGCTTTTATCAATGATTGCGTTTCAAACTATTGTTCCCCGACGAAATGATTATTTTCTTTCCGACGGGAGTCCAGCAACAACCCAAACCCCTCCCACCGCTGCCATCGCGATAGTTTTGAATAGACCTACCTGATTTATAATATATTCATGGCCCATATTCAGCCAACACATTTGACAGGTTTATCCTCAACACCTATATCAATGTTGGTTTTCTCAGTCTTTGATAATTGATTAGCCGTCATTGTTACTCAGTGAATTCTGTGAAATATATATTTTTTTTCATATGGAACTCAGTGCGTGCCACACCCAAATTTAATTGATATCGTATACCAACTCTATTTTTATCCATCATAATTTATTTTGTCTCCATATTCTCTCCAAATTAATTCGCTCGTTTGTGGCGCTGTCGAACTAGAGAAGGAATAAGGATATTGAAGGATATAAAAACTATTTTCTGGCCGCTGGCATGTAGATATTCCATAGCAAGAAGCCCGGTTAGCTCAGTCGGTAGGGCATTAGACTTTTAATCTGATGGTCAATGGTTCATGTCCCTTATTGTGCGTCCAATCGTTTTGTATTTCACGGTATAAAGTTAATTCTGCTATTTGTATTTGACGATAGGTGAAATTCACTAGATTCGTTATAAAATGTAAATATTTTATAGTAAGAAGCCCGGTTAGCTTATTCAGTAGAGCAGCAGACTTTAAATCTGAGGGTCAAGGGTTCAAGTCCCCTACTGGCCGTTCGATCGTTTTTGTATTTCAGGATAAGTTAGTTTAACTTCTGTATTTTAAGATATATTAATTTTACTGCATTCGTTATAAAATGTAAATATTTCATGGTAGGAAGCACTGTTAGCTCAGTCGGCAGAGTACAGACTTTTAATTTGAAGGTCAAGGGTTCAAGTCCCTTATTGGGCGTCAAATCGTTTTGTATTTCACGGTATAAAGTTAACTTTACTTTTGTATTTGACGATAAATGAATTTTACTAGATTCGTTATAAAATTTTAATAAGAAGCCCGGTTAGCTCAGTCGGTAGAGCGTCAGACTTTTAATCTGAGGGTCAAGGGTTCCCTTATTAGGCGTCCAATCGTTTTGTATTTCAGGATAAGTTAGTTTCACTTCTGTATTTTTTAAGACATATTAATTTTACTGCATTCGTTATAAAATGTAAATATTTCATGGTAAGAAGCACTGTTAGCTCAGTCGGCAGAGCATCATTCTTTTAATCTGATGGTCAAGAGTTGAAGTCCCTTATTGGGCGTCAATTGTTTTGTATTTCACGGTATAAAGTTAACTTTGCTATTTGTATTTGACGATAGGTGAATTTTACTAGATTCGTTATAAGATGTAAATATTTCTTAATAAGAAGCACGGTTAGCTCAGTCGGTAGAGCATGAGAATTTTTATCATAGTAGCACAAGTCTGCGTGATAACAAATTATCACGAATTCTGTGGGAAAAGTATTTAAAATTAAAAGAAATTTGTTTTATTCATGATATAAAAACGGTCATGCAGTAACTTGAATCATTTCGTTATCTCATTCGAAAATCAATTCACCCACTAAATTTCTCTTTCTCGAGGACCAAAACAACCCAGCCAACCAGACTTTTAATCTGATGGTCAATAGTTGAAGTCCCTTATTGGGCGTCTAATTGTTTAGTATTCCACGGTATAAAGTTAACTTTGCTATTTGTATTTGACGATCAGTGAATTTTACCAGATTCGTTATAAAATGTAAATATTTCTTAATAAGAAGCCAGGTTAACTCAGTCGGTAGAGCATCAGACTTTTAATTTGAGGGTCGGGTTCAAGTCCCTTATTGGGCGTCCAGTTTTGTATTTTAAGATTATATATTATATTATATTATATTATTATATATATATATATATTTATCTTAACTGATTATTATTATAATAAATAGGCTTACTGTTAATTAATTTGAGTGGTTTGTGAAAGGAGATAGCCTATCGTTAAGGACGAAAGGAGCTAGCGAGTGACTTAACTAATCACAGAGAGGGCGTGCTTCTATTAGATATTAATAAAAACTGCAGGCTTAAAATAATGTTAAATTTAGATACAGTATACACGAATACAGAAATGTAAATCAATTTCATTATTTTCTCTACAGCCAAAGAGGTATTGTTTGACACCTTGCAACAAGCTCTACGATGTTGAAATGTTAAGTAGAGAATAGATTTTTTCAATATTTTACCTTTTAATACCGTAATTGGTGTCATTAATCATAAGGTAGATCCACGGTAAGATTAACATTTTAGACATATATTTTTTATGAAAATTTTGCTTCAACCTTTAACATGTTGTATGGTCAGTGCAAAACAGAAATCCTCTTTTGAAATGGAATATTCCAATCATTGAATAACAAATAACATTATGGTGTGCCGCTGACTCCCGTAGTAATAGGCATACAGGATGTATCATATCGATCGGGTTTGACACACTGCATACTCACCTCCCTGAAAAGTCTCCGATGGT